CTGCAGTCTAGAGCCAGAGTGAAATACCATGTGGCACAAAATTTTTGCGCAAATTAATTTTTGCAGATTGGTGATTTTTTGTGTTTTGCGGGAACTAATTTTCTGCTTTTAAGACAGATTGGTTTTTCTTGCGGGCAAAAATTTTGTGCCACATGGTATACGAGAGAAATACGTGAGACCCTAAGAACAGAAGTGAAATGAGTAGGGTTAGATGTTGTTTCTCAGTTCACTGTATATCTTAACTGAGATGAGGCTGAATTTGTCGTGATATTTGTTAAAAAACATAACACTGCCTAATTACCGTATTTTGCATTCCAGCAAATCAGTAATGCTGAAACCTGTGACTCTGGGATGCGGGCAGTCTGGATGCCTCCATTGTTTGACTTCGCTTCTTCGATACCATGAACAGAAGGGAAATACCAAAGCTCCATGTCACATGTGCTGTGCAGCCTTTGAGAATACTGCGCTGTCTGTGAACGTCGCACTGGACCCCATAACAAGTGAATTAGAAGTGAGGTGCACCAACAATGGCTGCCAGTGGAGTGGCAAATTTTCAAGCATGGAACGGCATGACCAGCAGTGTCCTCATCTTGTGGTAAATCTCCCTAGTCACAGATGCAATAAAATGATGAAATGCGAAAAGGTGGTTCGCACTTGAGGACATGCAGAAAGCCTGCAGTTAAATGCCCGGACTGTTAAAAGGATCTAGAGGGAGAAGATCTGGCGTGGCACAGCGAATCAGGCCGTCTTTATTCTATGATCAGATGTCCACTAGGATGTCGAAAGTAATTGCCTTGGTACATTGATTACAACTTATTTAATTATATGGATGGCTATGCAAGAGGCTAGCCTGTGAGCAGAAGTCTCATGTCCTATATTTGTTACCCACTGCAAGCCGCACAGGCTACAGGCAACAACCTCCGCCGTTACCATTTATCACACCACAACTTCCACAAAGAATACCTCCAACACCATTGCAAAATTCACTACATCAGGAACCAAATGCCTCAAATAAAGCATTCCTGCTTCCTATGCAAACCCTGCCGGACCAGATACTCCCAGCTCCGCCACCAACTATATCGCATCAATACTCCAAAACACCGCATCAAACGCTTCCACAGGCCGCTAAAATGGAAACCGCAGGTGAAGAAACTCGCCCCTCCAACAAATTAATGGATTCAGCAATGCCTCAGGAAATCATATCCTTTCTTCGTTTTACAAAATCATTTGTATGAACAATTTCATCTTACCCTTGACACTGAGTTAAGTATTAATGATAAACTTCATACCAGTATAAAGAGTAATCCATTTATTTTTTCTATACAATCACGGACACCAAAGATGGTCCCGATATTTCAAGCACATTGTGATTTTGGGCTTGGAATATTAATGGCCTTTCTTCGAAATATCTTGGAAATAAGTTAGATAATACTGATTTTTTGAATGTTATTAATAACTCCGATTTTATATTATTAACAGAAATTGACAACTGCTCTGAATCTAATCTGAAAATTGCGGGATACAAATCTTTTTTTCAATGTCCCACCCCAAATCAGTCAGGGAGAGGTGGGTGTAACTCCGGAGGAATCGCTTTATTTTATGAGAACAAATTCCATAAAAACATTTCCATCACTAAAACAACTCAGCATTTTATTTAGTTTAAAATTGAGAATCGTTTTCTAAATTCAGTGAAGAATATTTACGTCTGTGGTGTCTATATACCCTCCTGTAACTCAAAATACTTCGATAACAAAATTTTTGATCAGCTAGAACAAGACATAGTACGTTTTTCTTCGACAGGATCAATAATTCTCATGGGTGACTTTAACTCCAGAACCGGGAAATACTCTGATACTGTCTCAAAGGAGGGAAACAGTATAATTAGTAATGATCAGTCGGAATCAGCTTTCCAGCCAACTCAAAGAAATAGTTTTGATAACGTTTTAAATTGCCATGGGAAACGGCTGTTGGAAATTTGCAAAACCTTTGACCTAAGAACAGTTAATGGCAGAGTTAATGGAGATACCCTAGGCAGACCCACTTTTCATGGAAAAAACAGGACAAGCATTATTGATTATCTAATATGTGATCAGCGCACATTTCTCAACGTTGCAAATTTTGTTGTTAAACAGCCATCTTATTTATCGGATCATAGTGCCATCGTGGCATGGCTCAATCTTAACACCAGGGTAATTGGAGACGAAACGCACACTCCAAATAGTAGCAATAGATTATCAAAATTACCACGGCAATTTTGCTGGGAAGTTGACTCACGTTAAAAATTCAAAAACGCAATGCGCACGGAACCAATCCAAATTCTAATTAGACAATATATGGAGAGAAACATCGAAGATGTGAATATCTTCTTAGAAAACGCTACGAAAATTGTAACTGAGACCTCCAAGCTATGCCTAAAAATTAAAGCTAAGAAAACTTATAAGCGTATTAAGAAATCGTCCAACAAGAAATGGTTCAACTGTGAATGTCGCTTGAAAAGGCATGAATTACGAAAAGTTTCAAATGAAAAGAACCGTGACCCCCTCAACTCCAAATTGCGGAAACGATGTCACAAAACCTTGAATGATTACAAAAAGCTCCTAGACACAAAAAAGAGAGGATTTCACAAAGATAAAACATCACAACTCGACAAACTAGCTTTAAATCCTGACAAGGCGTCATTTTGGAATTGTTTAAATTCGATGAGCGACACTTTCAACGAAAATGTTCCTGCCCCAATCTCGGAAGAATCATGGCTTCACCATTTCAAATCTCTGCATTCTATTGACCCGAGGAATTTCACGCATGAACATGAAATCCATAGGGAACTAAATTCTTTAGAACACGAAAAGGAACAGTTTACCCATCTCGATTATGAGATAACTGTGAGGGAAATACGTCAAGCGGCGAAGAAATTGAAAAAAAAAGAAATCACCATTTGTTGACAAAATACGAAATGAAATGATCAAAGCAAGCCTCGAACCACTAATGCCTGTCTATATCAAACTTTTTAACCCTCATTTTACAATCCGGAAAAAATGCCAGATGTTTGGTGTCAAGGCCTCATAACCCCAATTTGCAAATCTGGTGACAAGAGTGATCCAACAAATTACTGAGGCATATGTGTTTCTAGTTGCCTTGGAAAACTGTTCTGTTCTATTTTAAATCGTAGACTTCACTTGCATTTTGAGGAAAAGAAGATATTACATAATTCCCAAATTGGCTTTTTGCATGAAAACCGCACTGCAGACCAGGTTTTTACTCTAAGGACCCTAATAGATAAATATGTGCATTATCACAAGGAAAAAGTCTCCGCTTGTTTCGTAGATTTCTGCAAAGCGTTTGACTCTGTTTGGCACGAAGGATTGTTTTATAAGCTGTTGAAAACGAATATAGGAGGAAACTTGTACAACCTCATGAAAAGCCTGTATTGGAACTTGACATGTTCCATCAAAATCGGTGAAAACAAAACACAGCCTTTTTCATATTCCAGAGGTGTACGTCGCGGCTGTATTTTAAGCCCTCTTTTATTTAAGAGGGGGGTGAATAGGGGTATGCAAATCCACCGATCCGTGGTATTTTTAGGCCCGATCCGTTGATCCGACGTAATTTTTGTTCAAATCCGAATCTGTGCTACTGAAAAAAATTTTCGTGGTATATAGAAAGTAGCGTTGTAGCATGAAAAAATGAATTACTTAATATAGTTGTTCTGTAATCGCAACAGATGCGGGACTTCATGTTTAACAAGTTTTTGTTACAGCTTCAAAACATTAAGCATTAAGAACAGAGCTTAGAGCCAACAATACAGATTTGACCAGTCAAATAGTCTGCAAGCTTGCAAAATGAAAGTATCTGGTATTGCATAAAAGATTTTTCAATAAATTTGCCTACTGACGTCACTTTGGACATGCTTCTAGTTGAGCGGCAAAATTCAGAAGAGGCAGAACTCAATGTCATGGTAATTTTGCTTACCAGTAAGTATTTTCCATGGTTCATCTTGGAAGTCTTGAGACCATAATCTTTTTCCCATAAACATGTTCCCACTTGGCAACAGACGGGTAAATGGGTTAGCCACGGCAAACTGCATTTGTTTTCTGGTACAGATATAGAGTTTCATTTACTCGTAGTTTGTTTTGTCCTCATTAGGGCCATTTATACGCGTCTTAAATAAGACGCGAACTGAACCATTTATACGAGCATGTCTTATCTAATAAGACGCGTCTTAGCTAAGCCGCGTCTTATTTTAGACGAAATGTACCGTTTATACGGAAAGTTCGAGTCTTATGTAAGACGCGTCTTATTTTTCCTCGTGTAAATGGCCCTAATGATCGTCAATGATACTCAGGAGCCTCTGTTCAACTTTCAGACTTCTTGCTTCTCAGCGAACTGACGCCCTTCCAACTTAATTGGTTAACTGTTTTACTAGTATCTTTAGTTTGTAAATCATCGAAATTTCAGAATGTCAACTTTCCTCAAGTTATAGAGCATCAAAATCCCGACTTTTACCATACATTTATTGTAAATTTTGCCGTATTTGCCCTCAAAGATGGCGACAGAAACCATGAAAAGGTCTATTAAGTTAACGATCAAGACAAGCAAACTAGCTGAAATAGCTTCAAAGAACATAATTTATATCAGTTCATGTATAGACCTACCAAACGTGCTCGCGTAGCTTCGCCACACTTCTCCACTGACTGGAATCGACGCAGCATCGAAACTTAATTTTTTGAATAAAGTCATCGCCTTTGGCACCTTCATGGTAGAAAAAGGATACACACTCGATAGTTCTAGTTTCCATTTTGCAATTTAGAAAATTTACATGAAAGCATTCACAGATCTTGTCAGGTCACTTTGTAAGTACCGCCATTACCTGAACCATGTGTCACTATGCAGGAACCTAGCCTGTTCCAGGCGTTCAGATTGTAGAAGGTGGGAGAAAAATTCACGAAGAAAAAAACAAACGAGGGGAGACTAGAGACTAGAAGTGTACAACTTAACTCGCTCCCCCACTTACCGCCGCGCTCTACTATCTGAACACCTGGAACAGGCTTGCAGGAACCATGCACAAGGTTGCCTGACGTCATTTCCGTCACGCTGTCTATACTAGAATACATGTATATGCGTCGGGTCACGAGAAAGTCTCTTCTGGAAACCTTGGAAACGGATTGTTAGCCAACAAAACACCAGCACATTGACGAAAGCCGACCAAAAATTGATGATCCGATTCACAATCCGAACTTCTAGACAAACAGAATCCGGAAACCCGGCCAAAACTTTCAGCTGACCCGCGATCCATGGTAATTTTTCAAATCCATGAATCCACTCGTTTATCACCGAAATCCACAATCCATGAGCTTTTTAAGGCCAAATCCGCCGATCCGCGGACCTATTCCCCCCCGTCATTTAACCTCTATTTAAACAATCTACCACATTTATTTGAACACCTTATCTGACCCGTTTGTTCTTCCAAATGGGAAAAAAATAAATTCACTTTTGTACGCAGATGATTTAGTTATTCCAGCAAGATCAAAAACTAATTATGATATTCCAGAAACACCCAAAAAAATCTATTGACATCAAATTCAACATAGGCAGTGAGTCAATTGAAATTGTCCAAGAATACACTTATTTAGGTACGCGTTTAACTCCAACGGGAAACTTTACACTTGCACTAGAACACTTAAAAGAAAAGGCCCTTCACGCGTTTTCTAGTATTCGGAAGCAGACAATTCTTAACAAAGTTAATCCTAATACTGCATCCCAAATTTTTTACACCATGGTATTCCCAATCTTGAGTTACAACAGCGAGGTATGGGGAATGTACACCAAGCAAGATTTTTTTCATTGTTTTCCCAAGAAACAAGAGCAAAAAGATCATTGGATTGCCAAAATTCACAGAGATGAGGAAATATTGTTCACTGTCACAGACAAAACACATGTCTGCTCGCTAAGACTGCAAAACAGTCCTGTTTTTGCGTATTCAAGTACGAGCAAGCAGTCAAACAAAATGTCTGGAGCGAGGTTGGAAACGGAGACCGACACTTGGGAGAGACGCTAAAAAAAACTGCCTATTCTGCGTCCATTATATTCCTTCAAATTACCTGCTTCTTTCAGCCTTGGGCAATAACCATTGGCTAAATTTTGATGCCAGCTGTTAACAAGCTGTGAAGTTATGTTTGTACCAAGTCATTCACGATGTTCCCAACCATGACAATTTCCTAAAGCTTTTGCTGTAGATAGTGACTGATGATTGCCTAAATTTGTTTACACAAGAATTGGGATTTGTTCTAAAATCTGAGCAGAGGGAAGCTTTGGAGTCGCTTCTTAGGGGAAAGGATGTTTTTGTGTCCTACCAACAGGCTTTGGCTATTTTCAATTGTAATGATGATCCATACTCCGTTGGCGTGTTCAGTTTCTCTCTAATTGGCAAAAGCATCGTGGAACAGTTTCAAACCTTTGTTCTTTATTGTGGAGAAAGATTGTCCTTCATCGAGGGCAATGAAAAATTCGTTTTTCAGAAGGTTGACCAACTTTGAAAATGTTTAACCTTTTTGTAGTGGAGACAACAAACAAATATTTTCAGAGCTCATCCAGTCACTCTTAAAATTGCCAAATTGTGTTTTGAAACAACGGCCGCACATTCTACAAATTATCTCAAGTGTTTGGCTCTCTCGGCTTTCTCCTTTAAGGAGCAGGCACAGCCTTTGTCGGGGTACTGTCACTTCCACTCATTTTTAATCTTCTACAAACCACTACTTTGCATAGAAAAGCAACAGTAAGGAATGCTTTGGAAATATGGTTAGCACAATGATTAATGTGTTCAATCCGCTAAATTCAGAATTATAACTACTGAAGAACAAACTTTTTCAATGCATCCTATTTTAGCAATAAGGACAGAAGACAAGAGTCGGAGGACATTGGTTCTCAATGTGATACCGAATCTAAAAGAAAATGGTAGCATTAGCGAAGTAAGATCAAGTGCTTTTAAACTTTTTATCATATAAGGATAAAAGTAGTTCTAAAGAAACGTGTGGAATCTTCCTGCACTTTTCCAAGTGATTCTGCCAAAAAAAAAAAATTTATCATTTTGCATTTAACTTAAGTTCCTGTCAATTTTCTTTAGGCCATTGTATGCCCGAGAGACATTTAGACCCGATAATGCACCCATTTCGCATAGTTATTATCAAATGCGTCTGTGAGGAATGCATATTCATGAGAGCAGACCCTCACTCCCCGCCCCCTTCACAGCATACTAGTGTGGGTCCAAGAAGTCAACATTTATGTGGCTGGAATCCTTCGATGAGTTGAAAAACTCTTGCTTCAAACGTTTAGAAATGGATTCTACCATGTGCTCCATAACTCAAACCCAGCAAAGAAAATCGATAAAAGCAAAATCTTTGAACGTGAATTATGACAAGGACTGGGACATTACAACTTGAAAGATGCAACCCTCAATCAGCAAAGGATAAACTTCGAGCGGCTATGGACCTTGGTCAAACCAATTGTGAGGGTTTCTTACTCTTGGTATGAAAGATAAAAAATAGTGCATAACCAACAGGGAATTAAATAACAGCAAATCATTTGTAAATTAACCATCTGTTAGTAGTTACATCAAGAGCATTTAAGGTACTTTCTTGAAAAAGGTAAGGCAAAAATGTTCAATGTAGCAGCTTTGCTTGTTGCTATTATGTTCACACTACTTGTCATCTGTGACCGCACGCATACAACAAAATGCTTCTAATCATCAACGATGGAAACAACTACCAAAAAGCTTGGTGAGTGAAGTCCATTCTCCGACAACCCTGGCCATAAGGATGCTATTACCTCGCCATCAAACCCATTCTCTGGAAGCACTGCACAGTTTGGATAAAATATTCGCTTCCCAACACACAGTGTTCACGTTCCTGGCAATGCTTACCCGATAACTCGCCTATTTTGTGTTCGTAACTCTTCTTGACTCTAACAGACATTTCTGTTCACAAACATAGATTTTCGTATTCAGTATATGTTTTTTTATATTTACACTACTTTTGACAGCGCTTTGCTATGATGAAAATGGTGATAGGCTGCACACCATGACTAAGAAAGGCAAGCCCAAAAGTACACATGACGTGTGTGTTCTGTCCACTGGCAGGTCCGTTCTTATATTATTCAATCTAAGGCAAGCCTCTTGACCACTAAGTAAGGGCTGCCATCTTTTACTCTATCCAGCATTCCCACTCGAGGTCTTCCAGGTGGTCTCTTTCCTATTATTCTTCCCTCAATAGCTAATGGGACAAGATCAATATGCTGCTAGGTGTGACAAAGCCAGACTCTCTGTCTTCTATTGATAACAGATATGATGGCCCTCTGCTCACTTCTTCGTCAGACTTTGTCATACCAAGAAATGTTTCAGACCTTCCACCAAAGCCACATCCAACTGTTAAATAACTATGTATCACATGCTTCGTTGCACCAAACTGTTATTACCATATTATCACAAGGACCTTTGTATACTTTACACATTTACACACCTTTTACATATTTAGTGATTGCAATGCATTAAATATTCAGTTTAGGACATGTAACAGAGACGTTAACATGGTGGCAGCAGTTGGTTTTTTCCTCCTCCCTCACAGCATTTAGATGGCGTAACGATTTAAATCTATTGGCAACCATGGCTTTAAACACTCCTTTTCCAGATTTTAAAACAACAGGAGATGACAAACACGACATTGAGGTATACATCAAAGATCCGACGGACTACTGCATCATGCAAAACTGGTTCGATCTGTCGAAGGAGACAGCGACTGCAAAATGGACAAAACCTGAGAAAGTGATGGCATGTCTTCGGGTGTCACTGTCCCCTGCGAGCAGAGTGGTCTACAAATACAGTTTAGGGCTTTGAGCAGAAGATCTGGCAAAACCTAAGTTGGTTGTTACTGCCTTGAGAGAATACTATGTTGCAAGCATCGGGGTGTCCAGTGAAAAACAGAAGTTTCTTTGCCTGCTGCAAAGTGAAGACGAATCAATTGGTTCTTGGGAAATGCGTATATGAAATCAAGCTTCACAGTGCGAATATGAGAAATTCGCTGAGGAGTTTATGTGAGACCAGTTAATCACTAGCTTAGCGTATGAAACCCTGCATGAAAAACTAATCGGTAAAGGCCACAGACACCAAGATGCCGCACAAACCAAGGTCAAGTCGCGGGAAGTTGTTGAAATTGCTAAAAGCTTTGAGGTGACTACTTTTGCAAGTCAGTTAATAAGAACTGCCCAAAGCACCCAGCAGCAGCAAGTAAATTTCCCGAACAAATCCACACGTGAGAATCAGACTTCTGCTCCATCAACACCACTGTGTTTTTGGTGTCGCAGCAGCCATCTAAGTCCTCATCAACATCATTGCTCTGCATTTGGCAAGAGATGCAATAAGTGTGGAATCGTTGGTCATTTCGCTCGTGTATGTAAAAGAGGAACAAGAAAGCAAGTAGGCAACAGGCAACAGTCAAATTTTGTTGATGATGATGCAGATGAGCTGTTTGTAGCAGAATGCAGAGCAACACGTAGGCCTGCAAAGAAGTTCCTCGCTCATTTACACCTTGTTCACATCAGGAAATCGAAAATTGTGAGAGCACAAATTAACTCAGCTTCAACTTGCAACACCATGCCCAGCAATTTATTCAGCCAGTTATTCCTTAATTTAAAGGTGTAAAGCAGAATCAGCACATATGGAAGCCAAACAATGCAACCAAAAGGTCAAGTGACCCTAGTTTGCAACAGAAAAGGCAGACTACAGACAATAGATATTCTTGTGGTGGATGTCCCGGGCAACAAACCACCACTGCTTACCGGAAACGATGTGCAGGCTCTGGAGTATTTGAAGATTTATGCAGACGAAACAAACACAGTTGAGGACAAGATTTTGCAAACTCTGCAAACACTTCCCCCACTCAGAATGCTAATGGCGGAGGACATTTTACGGTAGTATGCTATTGTGTTTAGACCGGGGTACAGGAAACCCCTCGAGACACTTATGCATATTGAGCTGGACACCTCTGTTACACATGTACATGCCCCAACACACCAAGTGCCCATGGCAAAGTTAGACCAGGAAAATGAAGAGCTGAAAAGGCTTTATGAAGAAGGGATTATTAGGCCTGTTACCCAACCTACTGGTTAAAGAAAAACCAAATGGCAAACTTTGCATCTGTATTGACCCAAGCTGGACCATAAATAAAACGATTAAGAGACCCAAATACATGATACTGACCATTGACGAGAAGCTTCCTTTACTAACAAGTCATCATTGTTACTGTATCTGAAGCATTTCACACCATTGTACTGGATGAAAAGCCTTCTCTACTCACGACGTTTTCAGGGGACAAATGGACACTATTGTTACAACAGCGTGCCATTCGGTATTGCTTCTGGTCCAGAGGAAAACCAGTGGCAACAACATGAATTCTTAGACAGTCTACGCGGTGTAATTAATATCACAGATGATATTTGTGTGTATGGGTGTGGCGACACGAAGGAAAATGCCAACATCAACCATGACCAAAACATGGTGCAGCTCTTGGAAAAGTGTACTGAACACAATCTACGGCTCTGCAAAAAAACTTCAGTTCAAATCCCCACTTTCATGGTGCACAAGCTTACCCATAAAGGGGTAGAGCCCCGATCCTACCAATCCTACCGCCATCAGAGAAATGCCAGTTCCAACCGACAAAGCTGCAATGCAATGCTTCGTAGGAATGTGCCAATACCTGACCAAATTATGAGCGCTTGATGTCCCGAAAACTTCAGGACATTATCCCTACAGCTACCAGTCAGCTCGTCCCAAAACTAGCATGTCCCAGAGAAAACATTGCAGAAAGGAGAAATAGGTCAAAGGTGCAGTAAGACAAGAAGGCACTAACCCCACTTAGAGAGTTCACAGAAGGGGAAAAAGTGTACCTCAAACCCCACCCCACATACAGGTGTCAACCATGGATCCATGGGGAGGTAGTAGAAAAGCCCACACCAAGGTCCTGCATGGTCAAAACAGCAATGGGACCAGTTCGCCGTAATCATTGCCAAATCAGGACAGCGAAAGCAGAGCCAGCTGATGGATACAGCACAGTGATGGACCAGCTTGAAATTGCATCTACGCACTCAGAGGAAGCACAGGAGAGACAATCACCAAACGCTGACTCAACAGGAGAAACAATGCCCAGCACACCCGGAATTGAATCAGAAGACTAGTTACCTGCAACAATAGAATGTAGACCGTGCGGATCACAATGTGAGCACAGACTGCCTTCAAGATTCAGACTACATCATGTTAAAAAACTGTTCTCATAGAAGTCGTTTCAGAGACTATTTCAAGTCGAGACTGTTTTGATAGAACTACTTTTCTTTGCTTTTCTTTGCTTTCTTAATTCAAAAGAGGGAGGGTGTTACACAACTATGTATCACATGCTTCATTGCACCAACCTGCTATTACCATATTATTGCACGGACCTTTGCATACTTTACACCTTTGTACAGCTTGTACATATTTAGCGATTGCAACACTTTACATATTCAGTTTAGGACAAGTAACAGAGGCGTTAACACAAAAGGCCTCCAACCTTGGCACAACCTCTTTCTCTTTCCTTCTGTTAAGAAGCAATGATCCAAAACCCAAGATGTTTTTCACTGGGGAAAGCAGTGAAGAGTTTGAAAACAGGATTACCCAGCAGCTCCTCCAACTTTGAAAGTACTAGATCAAGATTATCACGATGCTGCTGCGAAGGGTTTATTTATGCCACTCAACACTTTCAAGTTTATTGGAGCAATCTACATTTTACACCAGGTCATCCCTATCCTTCACACAGTCTCCAAGTCCTCTCAAAAGGGATTTGTAACCTTGCACATTGCACCAAATATAGCATATGCAAAACTAAAACTCGCGGAAGAAGCTTTAAGTCACAAAGCCATTTATGATGCTGTTCAAAACCGTAATCCCAATGAGCATCTTACTGTCTATGAGTAACAGTAAAGGTGACGCAAAACAGCTTGATTGAAATCGACAACCTACTGCATAAGAAAATTGAAGCACTTATCCAACATCTTCACAAGCTCTTCAAACACAGCCTCCCACTGTTCTCTGTATTCACAGTATTTGACCCTGTGTTGATGGCTTCCCCCGATTCAGTTGTCTTGTTAGATTACGGGAAGGATGAAAATTGGGAAGATCTATGCTGCAGGAAAAGTCTCAGAGGAAGTTGCAGAGTTTCAGCTCTTCAAATTCCACATGGCAAGGTTTAACATTTCCAGACCCCAAGAAGCTGAAAGTGGAAACTCAAACTGTAGTTGTCTCAAAGCAACTTCTCCGGAAAGACTCTTTTTGCCCCCTTCTTGCTTCATTTGCCAAAGTAATCTCAAAGTAATCCTAAGCTTACCAACAACAAATACTTGGCCAGAGTGTGGCGCTAGATCCAACTTTCTAATAAGAAGTTGGGAAGCCTTCTCAACATTTCTGTCAGTGGCCCAGAGGTGTGTACAAAGGAGTGTGATCAGCTCATTAGGGAAGCCGTTAATGTATGGCTCAACCAGAAGAAGAGAGTAATAAATAAAAGCTCTTTAAAAATTGAATTTCAAGTTTGTTGTAAGTTTTAAATTCTGATCTGTAGGCTGGTAACGCACAATGGACGATTTTCCTAAAGTAGGTCTTAAACATTATAATAACAGAATGATGTTAAATAGCCCCTCCGAATATAAGCCCCCAGGGGCTTATACTTGGAAATTGCCCTTAAATGCAAAATTAAACAAAGCAAAAACGCCACAGGAACAAAACTTTATTTATATACCAAAGAATTACTACGTATACCAAATGTCAATAAAGTTCACAGTTTATTTATGTTTCCGAAGTTCATGCTTCACTCTTTGCTTGGATGTTTTCAGCCCATAGACAAAGTACTTGCAGGGAAGCTCTATTCCGCCACCCTGCACCCAAACTCTTTCTGGTGCTCTTCGCTTTTCACCTGTTATCTTTGCAATGATAGAATGAACTGTTCCATCTTTTAGCATGGGGCCTAAAATCTGTGCCAGGGGTTTCGGAATATGGCCTACAACAGTTTCATTCTTATCGGTATCTTCAACTCTTGTTTTCACCATAAAAGCATTGTCACTAGGACTGTGGGGATTACCGAACTCCAAAAAGCATGAGAACTCCTCTCCAACTTTGTACTTGTGTTCATATACATGATGACCTTTAATCCTGGAGGTGATGCTTGCAATGCGAACTGATGCTATGCTTTTAAAACTACGGTAGTAAGGAGAGTTTTCTTGAATTTGCTGCTCTGCACTAAATGTGCACGTTAAGAACGTTTGCACAAAGCACGTACCTTATGTCATACCATGAGAACAGTCGCATTTGATTGGCTATTAAAAAAACCAAGACTTACCAGTGACACTGAAATCAACATCACTTACAGTACTGTCTCGGAATTGTCTACTGCTGTACGAAAGCATGGCTTCCAACGAGAAAAATACAAATTCAGAGCACAAATCTGCTAGGAAAGCTTAAAGTCGAGAGTTCAAGTTAAATGTTGTCAGCTGGTTTTTCAACAATGGAAAAAAAGTAAATTTGACGGCAAATTGACAAACAACTGGTACGCATGTGAGTGAGAGCCAAACAGAAAATCAGGAATCAGAAGCCCCGTAGCAAATCAAGCGGTCGTGGTCACCAGCCTTTTTCCCCTTCTTTAGAAANAAATACTTGGCCAGAGTGTGGCGCTAGATCCAACTTTCTAATAAGAAGTTGGGAAGCCTTCTCAACATTTCTGTCAGTGGCCCAGAGGTGTGTACAAAGGAGTGTGATCAGCTCATTAGGGAAGCCGTTAATGTATGGCTCAACCAGAAGAAGAGAGTAATAAATAAAAGCTCTTTAAAAATTGAATTTCAAGTTTGTTGTAAGTTTTAAATTCTGATCTGTAGGCTGGTAACGCACAATGGACGATTTTCCTAAAGTAGGTCTTAAACATTATAATAACAGAATGATGTTAAATAGCCCCTCCGAATATAAGCCCCCAGGGGCTTATACTTGGAAATTGCCCTTAAATGCAAAATTAAACAAAGCAAAAACGCCACAGGAACAAAACTTTATTTATATACCAAAGAATTACTACGTATACCAAATGTCAATAAAGTTCACAGTTTATTTATGTTTCCGAAGTTCATGCTTCACTCTTTGCTTGGATGTTTTCAGCCCATAGACAAAGTACTTGCAGGGAAGCTCTATTCCGCCACCCTGCACCCAAACTCTTTCTGGTGCTCTTCGCTTTTCACCTGTTATCTTTGCAATGATAGAATGAACTGTTCCATCTTTTAGCATGGGGCCTAAAATCTGTGCCAGGGGTTTCGGAATATGGCCTACAACAGTTTCATTCTTATCGGTATCTTCAACTCTTGTTTTCACCATAAAAGCATTGTCACTAGGACTGTGGGGATTACCGAACTCCAAAAAGCATGAGAACTCCTCTCCAACTTTGTACTTGTGTTCATATACATGATGACCTTTAATCCTGGAGGTGATGCTTGCAATGCGAACTGATGCTATGCTTTTAAAACTACGGTAGTAAGGAGAGTTTTCTTGAATTTGCTGCTCTGCACTAAATGTGCACGTTAAGAACGTTTGCACAAAGCACGTACCTTATGTCATACCATGAGAACAGTCGCATTTGATTGGCTATTAAAAAAACCAAGACTTACCAGTGACACTGAAATCAACATCACTTACAGTACTGTCTCGGAATTGTCTACTGCTGTACGAAAGCATGGCTTCCAACGAGAAAAATACAAATTCAGAGCACAAATCTGCTAGGAAAGCTTAAAGTCGAGAGTTCAAGTTAAATGTTGTCAGCTGGTTTTTCAACAATGGAAAAAAAGTAAATTTGACGGCAAATTGACAAACAACTGGTACGCATGTGAGTGAGAGCCAAACAGAAAATCAGGAATCAGAAGCCCCGTAGCAAATCAAGCGGTCGTGGTCACCAGCCTTTTTCCCCTTCTTTAGAAAAGGACTTATATGATGAATTCAAGACCATGCAAAGGGAGGGTAAAGTCGTCAAACGATGGTGGTTTAATACTCATATGATACAGTTAGTGAAAGAACGCAATCCAGAGAAAGCAGACTTCAAAGCATCAGATCATTGGTTTTTCGCCTTTTGTCGAAGGTATGGAGTAGCTCTTCGCAGGAAAACACACACTGCCTAGAAAGCCCCAGAGCAGCTGACAAACACAGTAACGAATGTCCATTCAAAGTTTTGCATGAGCGAAAAAGAGGAAAGTACGAAGATTGTGACACTGCAAACATGGACCAGACTCCGCTTCCTTTCGTTCTTGATGACGGTAAGAGCTATGATTCAACTGGGGCAAAGGAAGTCTGGTTCTCAAAAGCCTCATCAGGTTTAGATAAACGCCAATGTACAGTACGGCTCACCATCTTCCTTGATGGAGTCTGGCGGGTGAGGCCTACAATCATCTTTCGTAGACAAGGAAAGAGGATTTCTCCTAATGAAAAGAGAAGTTGGGATAGCAGGGTAAATGTGATGTTCCAGCCCAAGGCGTGGTGCGGTGAAAACGTCATGAAAGTTTGGGTCGAAGGTGAGTGGGGAAATATGTTCACAAATCCCCCAAGAGCTAATTTATACAGTAAGATTTTAGTTGCTGATGTCCATCGTGCTCAGCAGACAAATGAAGTGAGACAACTCCTGCAAAGAAAGAAAACACTCTTAATAAACATCGGCACTGTCAAGTCAAGCCATTAGATGTGTCTGTCAAAAAACCCTTTAAAGATGCGGTCAGGACTCAGTTTGAGAAACACCTCAATGGCAATCTCACTTTGTACACGGCAGGAAAGATGCCAGCGTCAGAGCAAAGGGTAGTCTTGACAAGATGGGTTGGAAACGCATGGGATCACATTTGTTCTAACACGGAAATGGTGAAGCGCTCATTCAAGAAATGTGGCATTAATGTCAACATTGATGGAAGTGAGAATGCGTTAGTCCACCTCAAGGGCATCAGTGAGTACATGATGCCAGAAGCAGATGAAGAATTCCACGTGGACACTTCCACTGATGAGAATGACACATCAGATGAGGAAAATTTTGAACTGATCGACGCAGAGGAAGCTGTTGATACCGTTGAAGTGCCATAGATTCCAAACTGTTGGCGACAAGTCTGGACTTTTTGTTAAGATTCATTTTTTTTGTTTTATCAGTTATTGTTGACGTTACCTTACCTTTGAACTGAGTATTGCGTTTTCAATAAAGTAATTTGTGGTTGTGTTTTTAAGTTTGCTTGGCTAAGTTTTTAAAAGATCTACATCCAGGTCATGTAGCAGACATCATGCGAGTTTCAGTAAAAACTTTGCGCAAATTACTGACATAAATTTCCCTCCAAGTATAAGCCTAGCCGATTTTGAAACGCAAATTTCCCTCCGTATATAAGCCCCTCCAAAAATAAGCCCCTCAAAAAGGGCCTTGGAAAGATATAACCCTGGGCTTATTTTCCGAATTTTATGGTATTCCCTTTCTTATACTTTGGAAAGTGGATGGAGTAACAGGGCTTGCCTTTCTTAGTTATGGCTTGCTGTCTGTCACCATTTTCATTATAGCGAAGCACAACCAAAAGTAGTGCTCTCATTCACTGTCATCCTGTTCAAGTTCATCTAAACCTTAGCATACTCCGTCTTACTGTTTGCTGCTGCAATTTTTTCTCAAGCACTTTTTATTTACAGAGTCATTAGCACTGGCACAAGCCAGAGCTAGGCGATGACAAACACAGCGAAACAAATTTACCAGCTAATCACAAGGATTTCAAAAAGTTACATAAAGTACGTCCTGTTATCGACTATTTGCTAGAGAAATGCCAGCAAATTCCCCAAGAGGAACACCACCCAGTGGACGAACAATATTTCCCACCAAAAGTCATACAAGTTTGAGAAAATACGTTCCCAATAAGCCCAACAAGTGGAGGATAAAAGTGTGGGGTCAGTGGAATTCTGTATGACTGAGATTTACACAGGCACTACTTTACACTTTGTAAAGCTACTTTATAGTTATATTTGTATCTCTATTGTGATGAGGGCAGAATAGGCATGCAAATGGAGTTCTAATAAAGTGTATATAAGTACATGCATATATGTAATTTGCAGAATATTTGACAAACCAATCCACTGTTGTAATATGTGAGAAATGTGTTCTAATTTTGGATGCTTATTCTCTTCTGAATGCAGTTGCATGAATGCAACCTCAGCTTACCGTTGAGCAGAAAATTTATCTCATTATTGAACCCCATAGTAACAGCCTTTTTTAAACTCTTTCCTATTGCTTTTGCAGACCTGTCCTTCATACAGAGAAATTGCACCATTTGCTCTAAAAAGGTGCAAGAAAAATGTAAGGAAGACTTAAAGAAATAAACAAAGGACTGGTCCGCGCCCCAATCCTACTATACAGAAACAGAGTATGGAGAAGCACATATTTTGAAAACCCACATTTTACTATTATCAGTAGCTGTTTTTCAAGGTTGATGTTTTTCTGTACCCCTAACTATAATTATTTACTACCTGGAGTCTATGTTATACTGTTAGCTTTGCTGAACTAGGTCAGTATACCACATTGTTTCCATCAATACCTATGGCCTTTGTCAAGGCTATTGGCTTTATGTCAGTTCCTTGTAATTGCAGCAATTGAGACAATTTTTCAATTAGAACTAGTATGACCCTACTGGTAATACATTCAGGAAGCAGTTGTCAGCATCCTGATGACTATCAGCACTTATCATACTGTTATTCAAGATATTTTTATATTTGTTTGTTAATGTTCCAATCAGGCTCATGATGTTGCCTTTGTTGCTATAAGCAGATACACTTCATTAGCACAATGGGTATGATGTCGTAGTACTATGCAGACGAAAACTAGTAATGGAACATTGTATTGTCCATATGGCATCTCTGGTCTGGCGCAAAGTTTTGTGTCTGGATCAAGTGAGATCGCCAGCACTTAGATGAAAACGTTCCAGGCATTTAGTGAAGACTAGAGCAATGTATCACTGCAGATGGTTTAATGTATGCAATAATAGACTTAATGTAGTAACAGAGAATTTATATCTCAAGAGCCAACAGTGCAACTTTTGCCCTTAGAAGGATTCAACCGAAACTTCCAAGCTTCCGGCTGTGGATCATAAGCAAAAGGCAACCCCTTCCTTGGAGCTGTACATCTCACTTTGTTTGGAACGGGAACTTCTTCATTGTTTTTCTAATCATTTAAAATTGAGATAAATTTTAATATTTCCACATTTGTGTAATTCAGAATTTTTGTATGTTAAAACAAAAATTATTTATTTAAATTATCTTAAGCAAAAGTATGAATCATGTCTTTTGGCACTTTATGCTTTTCATCATTTGCAGATAGTGCAATTTTATTCATTTTCATTGGAAAAATCTCATGATTACAACGTCCTATTATATTCAGCTTTCTCATTTGAACTTTACCTAAAAAAAGACGCTTTTTATAATCATCAAATGCCATTTCCTTTTTTCACATTTTTCTTTATTCCTTTACATTTTTCCCTCTTTTACTTTGTTCGAGTCGTCTTATTTATAACTACAAAGTTTGGCTTTAAGACCAACAAGAAGTGTTATTTGTTTTCCACAAGCTTCATCCTTAAATGTTCCAATAACGTTTTTGTTTATTCCTGTTTTAATTTCTGATGGATGGTTTTCTGGATAATCACTTGTATCAAACTTTTTTCTTACATCATTTGATATATACTTATAAAAATCTTCTATTTCTATTTCTATTTCATACAGAGTCTGTATCGGTAAATAATAAATCAGCTTTGTCTCCATACTTCTCTCAAATATAATTATAGCGAAAATCAAACATTAAAGTTTTTGACAAGTCCAAAATTGCTTGTCCAATATAGCTTGGTTTGTTGAAGTAAACTTCTCTCTTTTTTCATGTGGGCCGCAATTAGATGTTCATCAAATATTGTTCCTCCGTCAGAGTTTGGTTTTGATGACAGTTTGATTCCTGGTTCAAGATTATCTATCAATATTACGTTTTGTCTCTTTCTGATGTTGTCAATTTTCTTTCCAAATACTAAATTATTCATTAATTAGAAGAAATCCTTCTCAGAACTGTTTGAACCCAGCTTTCTAAGTTCTCTCTATTCTTTTTGATATATGGTTCCATCCATCTGTTTTAAATTTAAGTAATGTAATACATGATGATATTTTGGACAAAAGTTTCCAACAAGTTTTTCGGTTGTATCAATCTTCATTTCCTCTGGAGCCAGAGGAAATTGTTGCTTCATTAACGTAACAATATGTAAAGTGCTTTTTGAAAAATTCCTCTTTTACTAAATGTGAAAGACATTTTCAGCAGAAGTATTGTTTAAGCGATGTATTTTTGCTTACGTGAGAACTACTTAATCTTGAAAAGATAAAGCTTATTTTCAGACTCAAACTTATATATATCTTGAAGCAACGAGTATTAAGAAAATACTGTTTGGAATGATTTATGAAATTCTTGCTATTTTAAATTATCAAAGAAATGAACAGGTTGGTATTTTAAGGAAGTATTATGATTAGAAATTCATACTGTTGATTACAAACCAATAAAGAGGCCATCATACATTCAACTTCCAGATTTTATAATGGGAAAAAAAGCCATTCTTAATATAGAAAACAAAATGATAACAATTGTCTTATGTGGTCGATATTAAGATTTCTTCATCCAGTTAACATTAACAGCACAAGGATAAATGACCTTGTCAATATGAGGATGACCTCGATTTCAACGAAACAGATTTTCCAGTAAAAGTCTTAGATGTAACAAAGTTTGAAAAACAAAATCCAAGTCTCTCAAAAATAAATGTATTTTCGGTCAATGAACAAAATAAAATCTACCCAGTAAGAAAAGATTGCCAAAACACGATTTACTTTTGTTTGAGAAAGATGGAAAGTCTCACTATTCTCTTATCAACAACTTGTTTCTCCATTAAACAAACCATTATCATTCTAACTTTAATATCTGTATGATTTCTAAGAAACNAGGTTGGTATTTTAAGGAAGTATTATGATTAGAAATTCATACTGTTGATTACAAACCAATAAAGAGGCCATCATACATTCAACTTCCAGATTTTATAATGGGAAAAAAAGCCATTCTTAATATAGAAAACAAAATGATAACAATTGTCTTATGTGGTCGATATTAAGATTTCTTCATCCAGTTAACATTAACAGCACAAGGATAAATGACCTTGTCAATATGAGGATGACCTCGATTTCAACGAAACAGATTTTCCAGTAAAAGTCTTAGATGTAACAAAGTTTGAAAAACAAAATCCAAGTCTCTCAAAAATAAATGTATTTTCGGTCAATGAACAAAATAAAATCTACCCAGTAAGAAAAGATTGCCAAAACACGATTTACTTTTGTTTGAGAAAGATGGAAAGTCTCACTATTCTCTTATCAACAACTTGTTTCTCCATTAAACAAACCATTATCATTCTAACTTTAATATCTGTATGATTTCTAAGAAACTCTTTTCTTTGCGGCGCTTTTTCCCTAAAGTTGTGAACTGGAATAATTTTTGGTTTTCCTTCAATAACATATTTTTCATGTTTGATTCCAAAATGGTATTCTCTCATTGCTCGTTCAAGAGCTTTTTTGAGATAAGCTGGTGTGCCTTTTGGAATCTTCTTGTTTTTGATACTTTCCTGAAAATATTCATCAAATGTTTTTATTTTGTGTTTTGGTATTTTAGGATTGGATATTGCTTTGGACATCTTTTTTCTTTGCTTTTCTATTCCCTACCAATCAGTTTTTGCTTTACTTATTGCTGTTTATACTCAGTAAACTCTTTTTTCATTTAAATTTTCTTCAAATCTTCAATTGATAAGTTATTTAAATCCACAAAGTTCATGCTGTTATTATATACTACAATTATTTTTTTTTAAATTACAATTTCATTTTGTGTGAATCAACTTAAATCTATTAAATTACGACTGCTGCTAAAATATTATGAAACAATGGTTACAGTCTCTCCATCATGTGATTTTTCCAACCAAGTGAAAATGATGCAAATCCCTTACACGTTTGTGTACGTGGTTTGCGTTTGAGCCAGAGTTTTGCATATTTCGTTTGCA